TTATGGAAATTAGAATTTTTGTAAGAGTATATGTCATACATAATAAGTTATGACGACATGATATAATATGATGGTTATGGACTATAGTTTTGTCAAGTTTAGGAAATTAATTTTTTTTTAATTTATTTAACTAGATACTCAGCTAATTTGGTAAAATACTATTGAGCATATACCTTTTTAGCAACACGATTGAGCATAAAATATTTTGTGCGACGTTGCCACATTTATGTTGCCGAATTAGTAGTAACAAGTTGTTGATGAATTTCACGAACTAATATCAATTTGTCACATGTCGACGGTTTTATATTTTCTGACTACATTAATTACTCTACACAACTAAAATATATTGAAAATCACTGTCAGTTTCCGCCTAGTATTTAGGCTGAATTTCCTTCGCCAAACCGACAATTATTTTTTTTATTTAAAAGAACTTTCATATTCATTTCTGTTGTTTTATTTAATTTTGTAGAGTTAAACGATGCAGCTGAAAGCTTTCATCGCACTTACACTTCTCAGTTTTATTCACCACGCCCTCATGTCCGTATACAGTCGTTAGGGTACTATTGCTTGAAACACAAGCAGAAACGTTGACTATAGGATTAATTAAATTCAACATAAACTCTTTACAATTACAATCCGCTAAACAATTAAAAAGCTATAATTTAATAGCCTTCGACCAATATTCAAATCGTGTAAGGATACGGAGTCTTTACTATAATATTTAGGCCAACTTGGAAACAGACACCAAGGTTTATCAATTTGATTTATTATAATTATCATATTTAACTTCACGATAGTAACCTGCAAGTATGAATACTTTATTATTTGTATTACCATTATTATTATTATCAAATATCTATGAAATTTGACTATTATTGACTATGAAATATGTTATTTTTTTAACTCTTACCAAATTTTGAATATTTAAATACATATTTTTTGTATTATTTAGATTTTAGTTCAAAATTGAAAATGGCAACATTGCAGAGTTTTCTATGCTCAATCGTGTAGGTTTTCTTTTGTATTTCTATATCCTTTGACACGTCGACAGATTTACTCAATTATATAAGAAAAAAGGCGTTTTATGCTTGATATTCAGTGCACCGCTGTATGATACCTATTTGAGATAAAACAATTGTCAACTATTAATTGGCAATATATCTAATATTATACAATAGTGATGGAATGATGACCATCATCGATGCAGGAATAGCTAGGTATACTATATACTCTTTACCACTTGGCCACTTTACCGGCTGTGTGAAAAACTAGGGGGGGGAAATAATTTATTAACCAAAATTGAAACTACATATAACCTAATTGTTGGTTTTTACTCAAGTCTTAAAACTCATTTTATGCCTTAGAAACAAATCGTACTAGGCGCCCATACCGATAGATAATATATTAAGTACATAACAGTTCATTAAAACTAGGTGCTATAACTTATTTGAAAAAAATAATGTAAAAATAATCCTGTACCTAATCATAATTCATGAAATAATATTTTCGGGTTATTTTTGTAACCCAAATGATAGGTACCTACGATAACGTTGACAATATGACAACATAATATTATGATGCAACAGGGAAAACGTGAAATAAATATATGAGGGAAAAAATTAAAATAACGACGATGTTTAATCAAAAACATAACGAATAACGATTGACGAGATGATAATATTATAATTGTTTAAAAATGTGTTTAAACAAAAAACCAGTGACCACTGACCACAGCTCAAACGTTGTGCTGTGTACGGTAATGAGCTGAATAATCGAATAAAGCAATTCATAGGAATATATAGAAACACTGCATGAAATACCTATGTATTGTTTTGGTTATAGTCACACTGCCACACTGCTGGTTATGAAAATCGACGAAGAAAAACCTTCGTGATGAAATCACCGGTGAATATTTCCCAAGAGAATATTATGTACGATATTATTGGACGGAAAAATAAGTGAATGAACAACTGTCGAAATCACTAGAACTAAAATTCCCACGACAATCATTTCAATATACCTACTATTATAGGCACTGGCGTATTACTCAACACACTTTTAAAAAACAAAAAACTTAAGTAACCATTATAATACCACCTACCTACTTGATGTTATATTATTCAAACGGCCAATATAGACAACGGCACACGCCCCCGCACGCAGTCGGTGCACACGATATACATCGGTACATTTATAAGTACGAGTACAAGCCATGGACAGCCACTAGCCAGTTATAGAGATAGCCACAAAGTCCCTGAAAGTGTAATATATTAATATATTATGCGGTAAAAAGAGGAAGAATGAAGGAAATAATAGTATGTGCCTGAGCCCGAGTGTAGAACTTAAATAGGCTAAACATTTAAATAATAATGTTATTAAAACTCGATAACAATGACGATTTTGAGTAGGTATTTTACATAGACTATATTATTATGCACCTTCCTAGTATGAAGCGTTTTCATAATATTTTTTTATTTTTATTTTTGATCCGTTGAATCTCATAATTTGTTTTCTGATAATAATAAAATGTATAATAAATAATAATTAGTCTTTATTATACGTCAAGTATGTATCATGTGTCGAAAATAATAATGGCGTGGCACCAATATTAATATTTATATTTTTTTGCTCACAACAATATCAATTAATTAGAGTAGGAGAGTTGGTACTTACTGAGAGATAAACCACTTTCATTATAGATACCCACTTTATGAAAAATGAACTTTATACAGTATTAAGTGTATGAATTGTAACTTCTAACTATGACGTATTATCGTAATTTGATTAAATCATTTTAATAATAATATTATTATTACAAAAAATATTCTTATAATCCCCTGCTCTTATATAATATCTAATATTAACATGACGTCATGTTAATGGGTTAAGTCGATATACTTAATTTCTATTTTTTATATGTCCATACAGTCAAAGAATCTGAGTTTGTCAGAGCACCCACACACACACAGCCAAACGGGTATTCCAAATTTCGTGTGACAAAACTGATGGGGATAATGTACGTTCTTATATGAGATCCCTACGATTACTGTCACACATTATTTGGAAGACCCTGTATACACGTCATATTCACTATCCAACATTGAACACTTCGTAATCCGAAGTTCCGTGTATAATTGTTAGATAGGTAGCGGATTTTTGAAAACTCTGACATTGATTGCTAAACGAACTCAAGGCCTCATCCGGTGTATAGTGATGATGGTAATAAATGGTAATATAATAATTACTACACTGAATAAATAATAATTACACAATTTTAGTCGATTAATATAAAATTTTTGAATCAAAGCTCTACTATTGTAGAAAATTAATGTCTATGCATAATATAATATGATTATGAACAAATTTAGATAACAATAATTTAGATAAAAACAAAAATAGGTTGAAGTCAAAAACATCGGTAAAATTGAGTTATGAGTTTTGATTGGAAAAAAGCCTCCATCAGTGTTATCATCATATGATTACAGTTCACGAACTTTATTTCAGGCTTTTTTCATATTACATTGTTAGTTTCAATGGGGTTAAGTGGTTAACACTCTATTGTAATAGGTAAATATACATCGCTATATTCATTGTACAAATTTATAAATGACCAAATTTTTTTTTTATGAGTATTTGGCACTTTCATAATATTGAGTATTAACGACACATATTTAATACATATTAGGTAGATTCGTAGATTATAGATTAGGTATTCTTATATTTTATTAAAACCAAATGGCAAATACTAATCTAACCTTTATGATATTATCGATTTATACAATAATATATAAATAAATATATATGATTTATATGAAGGTTTTTAAAGTGATTTATTATTTAAAATAAACATAAAAATGTTTTAATTTATTACGTACATACCTTATAATATTATTTTAATAATTTGCAAATAATTCTCCTTGTCGAAGTAAATTTATTGTTCCTATTTAATTTGCCTATAATACATAACTATTTTATCTTATCTATACATATATATCATATACATATACATATAGTTTATCTACTCCAACTACTTGAAGTATTAACGTGATCTTGGATATATAAATACTATTGCAATGTATCGCATTTTTGGATGTATAATATCCATATTTACAGATAATTTGGTCGGGAAAATATTATAATTAAGTCCAAAAAACATCTCCTTCCCATTTTACAGGCTTATGAATGTCATGTAGTCAGTAGGTACCTAGATAACGTAATATATCCAAAAAATAAAATTAGCGTATAAACTAGTTAATATAATTATTAATAACTTAGTAATTAATATACACATGTATTTTATTGCAATTTAAATTTTCAGTAAAAATGTTGTATACGTTTTCATTATAAATATTATTATTGTAAAATATTGCTACTGAGCACCGATGATCGACTACATACCACTGATTTATATTTGTATGAAAAGTGTTATCTCATCCTACGCTATACTGCCTGTACACGTTTCATAATATCGTTGAAAACTTTAAGTAATACATTAAGTAGATAACAATAATAGGATGTAGACAATTTTAAATTGAATAAAAGCGAAGAAAAAATAGCTTATGAAAGATACACTTACCTAAACAGCTGAGTGTACAAGGGAAAAAATTATTTTACTTGAAAATGTCCCACAAAACTTTTACAAATTGCACTGGAATACTATAAGGGTTAATAATCATACGATTTAAAACTTAAATTTCTTTTTGTTCTTTTGTATTTTGTATTTTTTTTTTTTTTTGGTCTTATGGTCTTTTTTCCGGGATTAGGATTTTCTTACTGTTATCCTCACGTCATTAATCGTATTATTTGTAATTATCTAAAACACACACTTACATATAGATACACACAGATACACAGATCATTAAACTGGTGTAACATGCGTTTTAGTCATTACAAATGATATGGATATGTTTGGGAATTATCCAGTTGTTACGATAACGTATATTTTGTCATATTACTCATTTTGCAATTAAACTTGGTTTTCAGGCAAGCGAAACGTCACGATGACGTTGGCTACAAAATACAATAGCATGACTTCACCACTAGCGCTCCTACAATTGATACTGTTTATTACTTTCTCGTCATCCGAAGCGGCGTCAACGGGTTCGTCAAGTTCAAAAACGCCTGCTCTAGTCCGGACGTCAGTTATGCATCCCGCGTTTGAATCTGCCGGCAAATCTGCTGGACTCAAAATTTGGAGAATCGAGGTAAAACTTATATTAAAATACTATCATATATCCCTATAATAACACAACCTACCTATAATATTATATCGTAATAATGAAATGTAAAAGTGTTACTTTTATCAATAATTGTATTAACACTTTCTCTTTTTATAAAACCAGAATCGTATACCTAATATTATTTTGGTACCTATACAATATACATGTAGCCTAAATTATGATTGTTCTCCTGCATATCTATTGTTATTATTAATTCAAATCTATCGAATTGCAAATTATTGTGGTGTAACTATCAAGAATATTATTTTTCTCCGTTTAAAATTAAAATAAGCGTACCACAACTACTAAATATAGATATATGTGTAGCAAAATATTTTAAATTTATACGGGATGACTATTTTCGCGATAAACGCTTATTTTTTGGAAAGTATTCACGTTTTTAAGATAATTTTTTGAAAAATGTATGTTTTATACATTATACATAATTATGACTTTAAAAATTCAAACCATGTAAGCAAAAAAATAAATTTCCCAAAACGTTAATACGAAGGTATTTTCGAGATCGAGTTTTTGAGTTTACTATAGTAAAACAAATATAATACTGCATATTTTTTTAAGAAATATTATTTAGATACAAGGCTGAAACACAATGTCTGGCCTCAAGAAAATCGTAATTTATTTAAAAAAAAAAAAAACAACTCGGTATCGTCTTTCCAATTCACTGAATTACCTGCTAATTACAACTGACGAAACCCATAATTTAACATGATAGGTATAATTATATCAATTAAATAAACTAATTAAGAAGTCTAAAAAATCGTTTTTCTTCATTTTTCTTAAGTAACTACCATACTGTTGTTTTATTAATTACCTATGTAGCACACGTTTGTAAACATATAATAAGATATTTTAACTTTGAAATTAATTCTTCGTGCCTCTTTTTCAAAAAAAATAATATATGGGAATAAAATAATAAATTAGACTGGTAAAATATATGGGTTATGTATTTTAAATTATTTTATATTTGACACATAATATCTGACATATACAATAATATCTAATTTCTCCATCCTATTGATAGATATAAAAATATACAGTAAAACCAATTAACCTACTATGTAATAATATATAGTATCAAAATAATATGTCAGTATCTAGTTGCGTGTTAGTAAAAAAAAAAAAAAAAATTAAATTTAAAGCTCTATTGATTAAAATAGCATATTAACCGTGGCCACATGGGTAATACTATAATACCTACTCAATAAAAAAAATAAAACGGTCAATCACAATATTTAATATGTTAACTTCTTGTGGTAATTTTCATATAAATATTTTCTTACGTTTTTATTTTCACATCTGTTTTTAATTTATTAGGTCCTTGTATTTAATACGTTAATATTTATTTCTATAATAATATAACTATACAAAATGCAAAATCCCTATTAGAAAATAATGTTATTGTATTTACATATTTCGAGTACAAATAATACTATATAAAGTTTTACCATTCTGGTAGGTATACTATATTACTATGTATTTATTATTTATCCATTAAAACAATTAATTCATTTTTTTTACGGTCTGGTAATAACAATAAGAACGTATAGGTAGATGGGTAATTAAAATTAAGAGTTTATTTTTATTACAATATGCTATCATTACATTATCTTTCAAACAAAGTTGCAAATATTTCGTAATACGTAACTGCAGTAGTCAGTACTCACTAGTAATAAACAATAATATAATAGTAATATTGAATATTGTAATCGTGCAGAGCATCATAAAATTATAACATCACGTCATCACTCATCGGCTAAATTGTTGGTACTTTAATCGGCGACTGCAGAGTAAAACCGACGACAGTCGAATGTAAAGATTTTGTTTCAGACGTTTTTTTTGTCTGTTTTAATATGAATAACCTTCATAGGAACATGTTTTATGTTTGAACCATACATTATCACACGAACTATCTGTTTATAAATAATGTAACTTCATAATATTTTTATATTTTATTTAAATAGGCTTGGACGTTTTGAGTATAAAATAAAGTATAAACATGTAGTATTTTTTCTTATATACGCCTTAACTAGGGGAATAGTGATCCTTCGTAACTCTTATTTATTTATACAGATTATTACAAAATTAAATATTATCTAAACAATAATACACATTACAGTTACACACACATTAGATGACATGAAAGCGCCTGTTCACTCTGTATAAAACAAAGATTCTATACTACAATAATACGCAGTCCTATACTCAAAGATATACAAGCAATAAGTATTTATTTAATGAATACAATTTATAATGCAATGCAGTAATAAATAGTAACGTGGAATAATAGTTTTCATGGTCAGTTCGTGTTTATTTTTCAAATAAATCTACTATTTATTAACTGTAATTACAGTGATTTCTTACCTTTTTTTTAAATGACAAAATATGGTTTTAGATCCTAATAGTAAATACTAAATATTACTTTAATATCCAAATAAATATATAAAAATTAAACACGCTTGGAATAATATTATTATCATTTATCAATGTTCCAAGTTAGAACGTATGAAAATATGTTACACGGTTTTTTATTACAAGCCGCCTACTATAAAATCTGCAGTGTTGTAAAAAATACTTTTAAAAAGTATTTGAGTAATTACTCAAATACTTATAAAATAAAGTATTTAAAATACCACCCAAATACTATCTATTGTAAAGTATTTGAGTATTACTCAAATACTTTTTAGAAGTATTTGAAATAATTTTCAAATACAAAACAAAAAAATACGTACGTATACGACATACCTTACCTACCTAATGTTCGTATTATATTTCGCTATTATAATATACCATATTGGTAGGTAGTAGGTACCGAAACGTACCGTTCCAATCGTCGTCGAGTGTCGACGATAAACAGACGGTTTCTCAGAGTAACTAATATTAATTAGCTATTAATAGACGAAAACTAAAACCAATATAGAATTGTTCATAAATGATAAATATATATTATAATATTATTAAGACATTATTATTATTTGACAATGAATAAAAAATTGAAGGAATAAAAAAAGTATTCAATAAAATAGTATTCAATAGTAAAAAAATGTATTTAAAATACCGTTCAAATACTTCAAAAATAAAAGTATTTGAAAAAGTATTCAATACGGAAAAAAGTATTTGAATACTTTTACTCAAATACTTTTACTCAAATACTTTACAACACTGAAAATCTGTACATACAACAGATTTTTTTTTGTAATTTTTATGACGTAAAAGTAGGCCATCATCGTAACACGCTACCTGTGCAATCCAAAATAATATAATTTCTCGGTTTGAATTTGATAAATCCCATTCAAATGTTTACACACAGAATACACAGCCAAAATAAAATATACCTATACTTCGGATAGTAAACCTCAAAAGTTTAAAATAGTAAGTTAATAAATAGTACTATTGCAGTAGGTAACAAGTGCCTATATCAACAAGTATTCTAGTACCAACAATAATTTTATTTTAAATGTGTACTGAAAACAGTATCTAAACTGTTTTTTTTTTTAAGTTTGTTGTGCAGACGTTAAAACAGTGAGTACAACCGCTTATAATTACTACATTGTTATTAATATATTAAAACAAAAAAATAAATATGTACATTTTTCTCTAATAAATATTAAATAAAGAATAAAACACATTTTTTATTCTCATTAAATGTTTTGCGCTATTTTCAAACTTTACTCTGACGAACATAGGTCGTCATGAGTATATTATTCAAATATTTAATCGCAAAAACATAAACATAAATCAATAATAGCTCATCTTATCTGATTAATTAAATATGAATAACATTTATCATGATAATGTATACCCACTTATTATGATATTTATATTATATGTATGTATACCTAACTAATAACTTCTAGTCTGTATAATAATATAATAAAATATGTCCGGTGAAACTTTCATGTTGGTAACCGAATTATCAAGGCGAGCAAAATATATTAATATTATTAATTTCGGTAGCTTTTATAATTTGTAAAGGTCATGACTCCTGAAAATACAACACAATAACCAGAGAAAATTCGTTAATAGTATACGAAAGTCGGGATAAGGGCAACAATTACTAACGATGTGTTCCATATCATTTACATCTATATGACTACCTATATTATAATATCAATGTCTAACTAGTATATTTATACCCGCCTCCGGTTTAAACTTTAAACGATGCTTTATAGTCTGTAAAAGTTTACTCGGTAGTGGTATAGTGAATTAGATAATAATATATGCGGGTTAAGTTGTTAAATTTTTTGAAAGTAGGTAAGTTTATGCGTCTATTATCTACATATTATACCGGCATAATAATTAGATGTATCTATATTTGAAATAAGCTAATATTTTTTTCGTTCGTTGCAATATGCACGAGTTAAAATAATTAGTACATCGTGTTTATAAATAATTACTATTATTATTTATTATCATATCAGTAAATGTAGGTAATACAGACTTTATCCGATTTCCTCAACAACAATATCTATCTCCAATACTAGAAATTTTCAATAATTGCCCGTTGAAAAGTACATAGGTATTAAAATATATACCTATACATACCTAGGTACCTACATATTAATAATATAAAGGTATGTTTAAAAATGTTATCGACCGATAGAAAGAACTTCTTTTAACCGAAAATTGTTCACTATACAGAGTAGGCACTAAATACAAGAAAACGAATTATTCTAAAACCAGTGACTATCATCTCGGCGCGTCGTCAAGAATCTAATATGGATTGACATTTAAAAAGCAATCACGTTGTATTATGATTGATGAAGAGTGGAAGTATATACTTAGACTATTATTATGCATAAGAAAATATTAAACATTTAAAAAAAAAGTCACGCGATAGAGTAGACAAATATAAATAGTCTTCGAGCAGGGCGTTTTATATTATCTACTAATGGCGTTACTTTTTTGGCAAACTTGATCAGATGTACAATAATATATAGTATATTGCCTTGGCAACTTAAAGGCTGTAATAAATGTTAAGTAGACAATGGGCATGTTTTCGCTGCGTGTATGTACATATTATGTGATAAAATGACAAGTCGTCTAATGGTAAAACTGGTAAAAGTCAGAAGAGTTACGATTATGATACCTTTGTTTCATGTTTCCTTATTACATAATATCTAGGTTTTGACGTTCGAACATTTAATAAATGTACACTGTAGGTACAGTTTAATACAAAAGTACATACCTATTTCGGGATATTCGTTGTTAATTTCCTCCTTCCAGTTCTGATGTATAGTTCGTCGGTAATAGAGTAATTCTGTAGTAGACATAATATTATAATAATGGCGTTGACGTAAAATTATTGCGGGTGGGTGAAATGTAGTTTAGAAAATCAGTAGTAGATATTAATAAATACGTTTTCTAAAATGTAAACCTTATATTTCAAAAATATTATTTATTTCAAAAATATTATTTATTCCTAATCAATTTACAAAAAGCATTTTACAGCGAGTAAATATAATTTATGTATCTATTTTTTTATAGGACTTTGAACCTGTGCCTTATCCAGTAAAGGATTATGGAAAATTTTTCACCGGAGACTCGTACATTGTCTTAAACGTAAGAATATAAAATATTATAATATATACAATCTATATTACACAAGAATTTAGATTATTACCTATTTTCTGATTAGTTTAACACAAAAACATTTGTATTTTTAGTCAATAAAAGGGAAAAACGACAAGCTTTCGTCGGACATTTTCTATTGGTCCGGTACTTCATCATCTCAAGTTAGTAAATTAAGTTTAAAATTTAAATTGTTTAAATTGTTGATTAAATACCTACTTTATTTTTTCTTTCAAGGATGAAGTTGGTGCTGCAGCGATTCTTTCTATTCAATTAGATGACGCTCTTGGTGGAAGCCCAGTGCAACATAAAGAAACTCAGGATCACGAAAGTCAAGCTTTTCTATCTTTGTTCACACCTTGTTAGTATAAAATAGTGATATATTATAAGTATACATGGTCCTCCAAATATTATGTGAAAAAATGATGGAGATAATATAATTATGTCGATGCTTACGTGATCCTCGCCATTTTTGTTACACAATATTCGGAAGATGGAAGATCCTGTATATATAATTAATAATTATATTAATTCATTAACTATAAAATATACCATATAATTAAATTCAAACATAACCAAAATCTATAAAATATTTACTTCATTCTCAGCAAATAATATTAAATCCAAAAACTAAACTTTGTCATACGCGTCTATTATGATGACAACTTAATTACCGATGTTGTTAAAATGATTAATCACTGAAAAAAAATTAAATATTTTGTACATTTGTGTATAGCTATAAAGTAATTTCAAAGTTTATAATAATTAATATTAATATAAATTTATGTCTAATTTAATTTAGCTATACGTTATATGCCTGGTGGCATAGCTTCCGGTTTTCATCATGCAGAAATTAATGCTGGAGGTGAAAAAAAATTATACCAAGTTAAAGGCAAAAAAAATATTCGAGTCAAGCAAATTGAACCAAAAGTGACGTCCATGAACCAAGGTGATTGTTTCATTTTAGACACAGGCAAAGAAATTTTTGTGTATGTAGGACCTCAAGCTAAAGGAACAGAACGTTTGAAAGCCATAAATGTAGCTAATCAAGTGAGAGATCAAGATCATTCTGGAAGAGCCAAAGTAAACATAGTTGGTAAGTAACAAGTTAATATATTAATAGGTAATAGGTACTTTTTCCCAGCAATTTTTTTAACCTAACAATCGCAAAATTGATATGAGACTTATAATATGTATATCTATGTAACAACTTAACAACACTTTTGTTGGTATACGTATTTGTGTAAAATAATAAAAATTTAAGTAAAATTTAACCTACATAGTTAATTAAAAGCTATTTAAAACAATTAATGTACCTAGTTATAACTTGTTTTAATACATCTTATACCTACAATATTTGAAAATTATAGATGGATCAAGTACTCCAGACGAATTTGAAAAGTTCTTTAAAGAATTAGGATCTGGATCAGCCAAACAAGTTCCTGCGGCTATAGACGATGATCAAGAATTTGAGAAAAAAGAAACAGTAATATATTGAAATATTTTTATGTTTATAGTGAATTAATTAAGTAATTTTTAGGCAGCACCTGTCTTATACAAAATATCTGACTCGCAAGGAGGGAAAATTGTATCTGAAAAAATCGACCAAAAGCCGCTTGTTCAGTCACATTTGAAAACTGACGTATGTCTTATCAATGATAATAAATGCCTAATAATAATATTGTCTTATTAAATTAAATTTTTAATTCTTTTGACATTTTTTAGGATTGCTTCATTTTGGACACTGTTTCGTCCGGAATATACGTTTGGGTTGGCAAAAAAGGTACAACTCAAGAAAAGGTAGAATCTCTAAAACGCGCACAAGTTTTCATTAAGGAGAACAACTATCCGGCATGGACAAGAGTATGCAAAAATATTTTATTCTTTTGATTAGTATGATATTTACAACTCTTATTAAACATTTATAGGTAATCAGAGTTATTGAAGGCGGCGAACCAACAGCCTTTAAACAATACTTTGAAAATTGGAAAGATAACGGCAGTCGTACTCGATTGTAATAGTTGAAAAATTACCAAACTAATTTGGTTTTACTGAAAACCTAATAAATGAATACTTTGTTTATTATAACATTTATTATAGAAATATATTACACATTTTAAATCAAATATTTAAATTAAAACAATATAACTTAATTATATTATATAACTTATATTTTAGTAAGAATAAAATGTATGTTGTATTTTATTGTGGAGCGTAAAATTAGTTTTTAATGTTTATTTTTGTACTTATTTGTGAGGAGTTTAATAGTATTAATAAAAAAAAAAGTAATAAAGTGCATCATAAATTATGAACATTAGGAACCTATACTTAAATACTTCATTAATGTATTACCTATTAAAAAAAATAAAATTAGTAGGTACCTACCTAAAGTTTAATTCAAAAAATGATCTATATATACTTTAAGTTTCAACCATCAAATATCATCTGTTTTTTACTGAACGTAGCAGATTATAATTAAATAATAATGATTATTAGTTAATGAACCGAATAATCAAACGATTTTTTTTATGTTTAAATATTTCAATATATTTTGTACCATTTTGCTTTTAATACAGTAGCTAATTTTTATATGAACGGTTCTAAAATAATTTTAAAAATAGTACAAAATGGAAATTATAGTTTATGTTGGACACACATCTCCAATTGAATCCATTTTTCATACATTTAATATAGCTTGGTTTTTAAAACGTTGTATTACAATAGCATTAGTAGTTTATTGCAATAAAATGTTTTGGTTTTAGTCTCAGAGATGCCTTCGGTGTTCTTTCCTTATATATACAATATAGGTATCTGAATTCATATCGATTTCTCCATCTATATAGGTTTATCTTGTCGGTTTGAGATATGTTTATTATTATTATTATTATTTTTTATTTTTATACCTAATGGAATTTCGATTTATTTATTCATATTCAGTATACCTAAATGTGGGGGCGGCATTGGGTCATCGGGGGTGCGCTTATCTTTTTTATGGACATTGCAGGTATAAGCTATAGACTGGTAGAGTCATGTATCATTAATTATTATGATTTATGACTCGTTGGGTATTATTTTGAGAACGTATACCTTGCAGTACCATTAACATTTCCATTAGCTTTTATATTTAGGGGCTAGGTGTGTAGACTACAGAAATGTACACCCTAATAGTTTGTAATGTTGTATTACAGCTACCTTCATTAATTGATCACCAAAATGTTTTAATTTTAACATTTGAACAATATAATTTTGATTCAAAATATCAAAGAAAATAGAATATTGAAATAGCATGGTCATTGTGCATAATTTATAGTACTTACGGGTCACACACTTACATGTATTATATTATTGAATACACCAGTAGGTATAGCTGACAGTTTATTATTTGATAAATAGTTAAATCAGGTTATTAGTTATTTTCTCTCTTATCGAAATATTATGATCTATTAGAAATTATAATAAACAATATATTGTAGACATTTAGATTACATTCATTATAAATAATAAATAATGTGTGATTAAGTATTTCAAAAATATTAATCTACAATGCTGTACCTATGCAAAATAAAAAAGGGGGTAGGTGGATGTCGCTCTGCTGTATAGTGGGTCACTGTATAATGTATGGTATTACATTTAATTGAATTCAATGATATAATATCATTGTATACGATTCTGAGAGGAAACGGTTTGTCAGTCTAGAATATTTTATATTGTATGTATATTGTTGTTACTAATTATTAATACGGTGGCCGATAATTAATATTAAAAAATTACAAAAAAAAACTAAAATCATTATTCTTGGTTATTTAATATGTAACTTTATCCAAATTTGAACATAAAATAACTATACTGTGTTTAATATTTTTGGATTTTTAGTTACAGAATAACCTACCTACCTACGTGGAAATAAAATTTGAACATTTTATACATTTTTAACTACAAAATCATTTTTTAATTTTAAATTTGATACATTTTTTCAACATTCAAGCTTTAAATGTTTAGAAAAAAGTCTAAATATTTTGAAAATGTTATAGTGTAAGAACATATAGGTGGCCAATCGATTGGACGATTTCTAAGTCGATCCCCCTTGTTAGAATTTATAAACTATTGTTGTACATTTGTAATTTAGTAGATACTATTTAGCTATTAAATACATATTTCGGTTTTAGTGAAATGTAATTTTATCACATAAAAGTTATAAAAGTTGAATATTTACCGAGCAATACTTTCTGATGATAATTTAGAACAGCGTCTTCGTTTAGCGGTTAGCGACTATTACCGGGATTATAATTAACTGGCATGCAAGGATCGTCGACACGCTATTCTACATCAACAGTATAATGTTGATACATTTAAAACAATTTAGAAATTTAATGCAAAACTCGCTCATTTTAGATAACTTTACACTTTTATTTTATTATTTATGTATGTTTATTATTAATATAAAATAATTTTCTTACAAAATATATACAATCAGTACCTAGCAGGGGCGGATTGGGCCACCGGGAATTCGGGAGTTTTCCCGGTGGGCCGCTTTTTCAAAAAACTATGTATTCTTAAATTCCTATTAGGTACCAGCCCAGTAAGTTTGCATTTTTTTCCCGATTTTTCAAAATAAGATAATACGAATTGGATTGCGGACAGTATGCAATAGTAGGTATATCAGGTAGGCAATCTATGATGGCACAACGATGAGAGACAGAAAGCAAAAATATAGTATTTTTCGAAAAGCAAAAACAGCAAATATTTAATGTAATATAGCGGGGTCACTAGTTAGGACAGTTAAAATCGAAAACAACCCTTGATATGTTATGTAAAACCACATTGGGTGATCTCTAGGTAACGACAAACTTCGGAAAAAGTCTACTTTACTTGACATCCCGTGGAAGTAGAAAATAGAAAAAGTCAACCTGATTTGAGTAGTAAGCACTGCAATATTCAAAAACTATGATTTGCTGTAACTTTTGAACAGTGTTTAAATTTCCGAAAATTGTTTTATACACTTTTTAATTCAGTATACTAATACAGTAGTACACGTATTTCGGGTGTAAAAAATTTGAGCGTCATTCGTTTGGGCGAATAGTCCAAAATTAACTTGAGTAAAGCATATATCATTTGGGTCAGAAATTAACCGATCATTTAGGCGAATTTATAAATTATTGAATAATAGGAAAGTAACATTGCGTAGGTATACAATAATTTCTATAATATTTAGTTACTACAGCTAAATGTTATTATTATATCGTTTCGGCTGATCGGTGAATACAGATAGTGAACGATAATTTGTTAGATTGTACTAAGACGGAGACAAAACATTTTACTCAATATTATATTACATAATAATACTAAAGGAAAACAAGACTATACAATTTTTCTGATTGTTTAGAATTGAAGTACCTACATAATTTTATTATGAATAAACCACAGTAAAACATTTTTTTAGAAAATAAAAAAAAACACATACATTTTGCATGTTGATTCTGTTAATTTACCTATCAGGTATATTAAGTGGAAGTAAATTATAAGATTTTATTTAAGTCTAAAAATGCATTATTAAATATTATTGAATAGGTAAAATTAATTTTGTCGAAAACCGATTTTGCATAAAAATTCCCGGCGCTTTTGAAAACTGCTATAGAAATTTTAAATGTCGACCTCCCGAATAGCACCAACTAGATTCACTTTCCCATTGAACAAGATACTGAAGTTGAGAATCCAAGCATTTTTACTGCCTCAAAGCTGATGACATACACAAAAATTAAAAAAAAACACATTCAGAATCTAAAATAATACTAAATGGTTAATAATTATAGTGTTTTTAGAAATTGTTTTTTCATGAACAGTATTTTGCCACTTAGATTCAGTTCTAGTTATTATTTAAGTTTGTGAAAAACAATAAGCTCATAATCTATGTAGGGTTACAGCCCGAAACACATTTTTTGAATCATCCAGATAAGTTTATATACAAAATAATCTTTGAACTTTGAGCCTTGGGCGTAATTCGGGGTCTCAATATGTTTTAAAAAGCATTTAAACTAAGTCCTACCAAGAGATAATAAAACTATCATGGGTTCAATGTGAATAACAATAATAATAAATTAAAAATTATATTAATTTGTGTATAATAGTTATATTATATAATAATATGTTGGATGTGTATGGTTATTAGTTATTACTTATTACTTATTCTTATTCCCGTATTCGCAGAAACAATCGTAACTAACTAGTAACCACGGTAACATAAAATATGATGGGTTATTTTTCTTGTATACTAATGTAAATATAGGTACATAAACCATAAGACATAATATTGTCGATCATTTCACAAAATATATTCAGCCGATTCAGGTGTATAGAACGGACGTTTAGCATAAACGTCGGTTAAACATAAAAAAGAAAGATAATTAATTTAATTAAGTCGCTTCTAAATACAGGAGTACGTATAAAATTAAAATATATATATTTAAATAAATCTGCTTACCTACTGTAGAATCATAGTACCTATATGGACCTACCTATAAGTACCTATTCGAATTAGGTTGTTATTTTATTGTTTAAATTTGATTTTTGAGTACTGTTTTTTTTAAATACGATTAGGTTCTTTTGACTGTTTAATTTAAATTTGATTTTCTAAGACTCTTGGCCTCTCAATTTTCACTAAATCCTAGTTTCACACATGTATATGATCTACATTTTCAAATTCTTTAAATAAACGTCCAAAAATATTTATTTAAGTGTTTTACGGAAATTTCAAAATGTATATAAATGTATACTATACAGGGTGATTTTTTTATCATTGAACACTTATTATTTCAAAAAGTATTTATGTTTTTGAAAATATTTATTTTATATAGTTTCAAGTTGTCAAAAAACAACTTTCTTATTAAAAAATCATATTTTTAAATAATTTTATCCTTATATTTTTTTAAGTTTTTTAGTTTTTTGAATGATAACATAGAGTTTTAATTTCATATTCCAAAGCAGACTATTTTTCTAAGTATTTTGATACATAAAAATCGAA